TAACACTACTCTCTCTCTCTCTTCTTCTCTCTCTCTCTCTACTATATATATATATATATATATATATATATATATATATCTAGGAAAAAAGCTGGGATTAGCCCACTAGCTCATATGAACATGTGAGCCCAATGGCTCAGATTGAATCTGGGCCGATCTGACTGTCACGACTTCATTTCGTGTTTGAATTTTAATTTTTTTTCCAACAAATCCAAATCACTTAAAATTTTAGGCGTATGTTCTTCTTATCAAGACACACCTAATAAAAATATAAAAAAATTATTCGCGATTTTGTTTTTGATCAAAATACCTCCGAAATTTTTTGTGGGTGTTTTGGTCAATTTATTTCATGTAAAATATTTTTTTGATATTTTTCAAAGATTCAACTTTTTTTTATGGATACACTCCTAAAATTTTAAGTGATTTGGATTTGTAGAAAATAAAATTAAAATTCAAACACTACCAGACATCCGTGATCGTCAGATCGACCCAGATTCAATCTAGGCCGTTGGGCTCATATGTTCATATGAGTTAGTGGGCTAATCCCACCTATTTCCATATCTATCTATCTATATAAGAGTATTATTAGCTTGTGGTAGTGCTTTATTTGATAGATTCTTAATGAAATTTGCCATTATTAGGTTGCAGATGTATGCTTTTTGGACTACCTCTTATGTCTCTTTTTGACCTCAGCGGCTCTCCTGGCCTTAACGGTCTTTTTAGACTGGGTGTCTAAGCCTCAACTCTCGGTCCAACTTTCTCTAATGGTAAATATCAGTAGTGTTTCTACCGTGTATAGTATTATCACTTACTAGTAATCAGGAAAACTTTCAATTATTATCAGATAAAATAATACAGGTACATAAAAACAAGAACTATAATTTATACATATAGGATTAATCCAAATAGCCATTAAACCCTTAACTAGATTAGGACTAAATAATTCTATCTTAATATGCTTAAGAGATACTAGACATAATAAGTTTTCTGATTCCCTATTAGGAATGATAGAATCAAGTTTATGTAGTGGACCAATCTATTTTAATTGTTTTCCAAATTATTCCATATCATTAAATGATCCTAATATATTAAAAGTATTATCATTAAATCTTAAAACTCAAGGTTTTGACATGTTACCAGGATCCCAGAATATTGCTATTATATACAGAATATATTATAAAGTAATGAATACATTATGCCCAAATGCTATCCAAATCGATACCAAAGGAAAAACTACTTTCTTCTAAACCAATATTGAAAAATCGAATGTAATAATTCCTAAAACCATACAATGGTCAGATATTATATTACCTGAATCATGGAATATAGAAAATGAAAATCACCATTTAAAGGCATCTAGTCGTAATATTCCTGATAGAATTATAGAACATCAAAATGGGAAAATAGAAATCCAATTTTCCAACCAAGTCATAAAGGAAGATACAAGCGTACACTCAAAAAATATATCCAATAACATTGAATCCTCTAGACATTTTACTTCGAGTAGTATGAATCCAAATCCAAAGCCTATTACGCACCAAAGACAATATAGTCATTCCACAATATCAACCCACACTAAAATCTGAACCAGAATTTTCTGATACAGAAATGGACTTTCATATATTAACTCTTACTGAAAGGGTATCAAAACAATGGATAGAACATGATTATATTGCTGAGGAAAATAAAGATATAAGAGAATGGTATCTAAAAAGGTTTCAGCCCAGATTAATAGAATTATTCCATAAAAGATATAATAAATTATATAAAACAAAAACATGTAGTATAGGATTTTTTACATGGTTAAGAAATACTTTACAAGAAAGAAATGTCGAGATTCCAAACTTTAAAGAAATAATAAAATAAATACAATAGAGAACCAATATACAACATATAATACAATAGAAGGTGTTAGTATTATTAGTGTTCATCCTCCAGAAAAAAGTGCTATTATCAAAGGATCCAGCAAAGAAGGAGAAAGTTCACTTGTTTCTGAAACAAGGGCTACTCTTTATAAAATGACAACCGGGGAAATAGTTCATCGAACTGAATTAATCCCTCATATTATTGAACAAAATAACTATACCAATTTATGTATGCAATCTATAGGAAAGCAAACTCTGAGAATAGAAAATATAATAAGACCAAATCCTATTCCAGAACCTAAAAACACTTTATTATTTAAACCTCCTCCTGAGTTAAATAAACAAAAGTTCCATATAGGAGAAACCAAT